CAAAATGTTGATAGGCTCAGTTCTGCACATGCTAACCAACACATCAGCCACAGCCCTCGAGTCAACAGGAATTAATAGGCATTCACTGCTTTGGACCCCCTAAGTCAAATTCAGGGTGTGCTTGCTAAGGTAGCACTCACCAGTACATAGTGTTCCTCATGTAATTGTGGTGTTACACACAGCATAGAGCTGGAAAATATGGCCACTTCTGTTGTCCAATACACTTGCTTTATATTTTCATGACATTGTTTAACTAAAATCAACTACACACAGTATTTGGAGCACTGTCACATGTATTCAAGAGATAATGTCAATGGAATTGCGTGTTGTCACAGGATAACAGCCTCCCGCTGTTGCTGAAATGCCAAATTGAAGCTGAGGCATTTATGGAAAATAAACGTCAAGTCAAAGCAAAGATGTTTATTTTAAAAACAAGAGACATGGATCTTGTGGCAATGTTCCATCATGTCTCTATTTCTCTAATAACAAATGTCCAATGTGAATAGAGCCAAGTGACAATTTCTTCCTGGGACAGCACAGAGAGGGTGAAGCCCGATCACTTCACGTGAGGACTCGCAGAGTTGTTTCTCATCTGCTTTCCTTCAGCTGAGGTTTTAGTCAGCTGTCTAGGTAACGAACACAAAATCATTCTCAGATGCATGCTAAGTTTACAAAGAGATTTAGGAAGACATCAGAAAGAAAAAGGGGCAGCATTTTTAATTTGCTTTTATGTAGTCCTTTTTCTCCAGAGAAAGAATGACAACAACATGAAGCTCACTGAAATCAGTGGAAGGCTTTCCAGGCATTTTAGTGGGCTTTGACTAATGCCTTAAGAGAACAAACAGTTAATATTTTAAGAGGACATTATGTTGATAACGGTAGTCCCTGGATTTGATTCATGAAGGCATGACTGGAACAAGGCTGAACAAGGAAGACAAGATCCTTCTGGGTCATAAGGGCATCACAATCACCCCTTGTGCCTGGAAGGCAACTGCTCCTCATAACTGCTTGCCCAGGGGAGATTTCTACTCAGTCCACGTCACTGTCACAGCCACAGAGAAACTGTTTCTTCATTGCATTTCTCCAGTAAAGCTTCCTTAAATCCATCCAGTTACCCAGTAGCAAAGATGACCGAATTTATTTTTCTTTTCGTGGAGAAAACTGAAAGTTACTTGTCAAGAGCCAAGTTGCTGAGATACGGTAAAAAAACCATGTTGAAGCTAAAAGTAAAACCTGGGAATGTCTGGATCTTAGACATGATGAAATCTGATCCATAGCTGAGAATTAGAGTTTTGTCAAACTAACTGTAAGGCCTGGGTGATGAGACATTCACTGCCACTCCTTGCAATCCAACAGGTTTAATGTCCTAAAAGTTCTTTCAGATATTAATAACAAATTTTCCCTTTCATCACATTACCACTCCTTAAATATCCTTGTATTCATCTAAATTATTTCTCTCCCTTCATGACAATTTTTTTTCCTCCAACTACATTAAGAGATTATGTCTTCAACAAGTTAAATTGCCTCACCACTCTCCTCATCTGCTAATCCCACCATCTTTCTTCAAACATTCATCACCCTTCTGCCAACATCCTCCCTCCCCAACCAACCTCACAGGCTATGTAAGACCTGGCACACAGAGCTCAGAGCAGCCCTGGAGATCCAGGGATGGCCTACAGCAGCACATCAGAGCTGGCAACAGCAAATCCACTGGTCCCAGCACTGCCCCAGCTACCACTATGATGAAGGAAGGGATTGGCCCCAGTGTCCAGCACCATTCCCAGTCTCCTGTCCTGCTGCTGGTGCTGCTGACATTCCCCAGGGCAGTGCTGTGAATGCAGGAACATACCCACTCAATAGGATCCTCATCTTGCAATCTGTTTTGCATGGAGGGAGAGGCAAGAAGACAGGTAGGGAGCTGTGCAAACCACCTCAAAGGACTGGGATTAAAAACACACCTAGATAGGACACTTCAGTTCCTGATGTGTTGAAGCTTCACCGCTCATGACAACAGGGTTCCTCAAATGCAAAACATTTTGATTCTCATCAGATCTATTTGTCAACCCTATGTCATATAAGATTGATCTCTCCTAATAACTACTGAGAGTTCAGGCTTTCTTTTTTCTTTTTTTTAATGACTTCCAAAAGAAAAAATAAATTAATTGCTTATTAAAAACTGTGATGTGGAGAGCAAGTAGAAACAAACTATTTTAGTGCTGTAAGCTCTTCTCTTGACCTAACATTCTTACATAATATGCAAACAAAGAGTGGTATTAAAATCATGGCAAAGAACTGTCTGAAATGCAAAAAAAAAAAAAAAAAAAAAAGGAAATTCTGAGTTAAAGGAAATTTTCAAAAGGTGACGCTCTGAAAGGGGTTAAACCTACAGTGAATATTTGGCTGCTCTGCTGTGCAAGGGCCAGAGGGATGTTCTGTACAGAAATTGTAAATTTGCTTATTTTTTCCTTTGGAGATGCATTGTTTCCCAAAGACATTCTGGCTCCAGCTCTGATCTGACATTCCAGATTGATGCGTGTTAAACCAACAAAGATACTGAGAAGCAACACACAATTATGTGTCTTCTGGTTTATTGTGTACTTGCCAGTAATTTCCTTTAATTCTCCAACCTTTAAGCTTATCTTCCCTTAGAGTGGGAAGAGACCTCCAGCTGGAGACCTTATAGGACAGCTCAATAGGCAAAGAGTTGGCATTTTATTAGTTTATGGTATTTATTAACTGTATAAAGATACTACAGCAATAATGGATCTGGACAGATGACAGATGGATGATGCTCCAGGAACAGCAAGCAAAACAGCTACAGAGTATCCCCAACACTGCTTCAGTGTCATCTTGGGAAAAGTATTTAAGATTTTATCAGATTTTTATCTGGCTGATTTTGCACTAAAATGAACTGTACACATTCACAAAATACATCCAAGCATCTCAACTGTGAAGGCTTTGGTTCAATGATGCACCGCGGGGCTCGTACTTTAAGTGTTCCAGCTAAACGTAGAAAAGAAAAAATTGTTTCTATCCCACAGCTCCATTAACCTGGTTTCAGATTATTATTTTTTTTAAATCAGAATTACAGATATCAGGCCTGGACAAATATTCCTAGACACAATCCTGCTTTTCATTTGGCATAAGGTCTCCCTCTGCTCTTGAAGATGTCATGCCTCCTGCCCTTCCCACCAAAGAGGGTCATGCTGTGGTCCAGCAGATGACGAGGAGCAAAGCAAAGTCCATGGGAACATGAGGGAATAGTTTGCCAAGCAGCAGGTCCATGCTGGTGTGTGGCCTTTAGTCAGGGTTAAATAAATAGGGTGTAAATAAATAAATATTTTTTTCCCAGGTTGTGACCTTGTAAATCAAGCCTAAGCCTGGAAGGGATTTTTATGGTCCAGTTGGAACAGCAGAGCAGTCTTAGCAGAATAAATATATAGAGGAAAGAAAATAACCATGGCTCCCAATTGCTCCCAGAGTGCTGTGGGGAATGTTTGGTGCTGCTGTAAGACATGTTGATGATTAAAAAAGCAGGAGAGGGGACATCGCTCTCATTTACTCAGTGGCTGTTCCACATTATTCTAAGAAGTTTTAAAGAGGAGTAAAATGCAGTTAAATGCACCCAAGAGTAATCTTACAGCTTTGGAGCCAAATAGAGGGCCAAGCAAGCAAATGGGAAGCCAATCCAACTAGTTGCTAGCAGCAGGTTTCATGAAATTAGATAGGAGCCGAGCAGGGATTCGATCAAAGTCTGTTATCTGGGCATTGCAGCCTTGGGATGTTTCATGAACTTTATTGCTCATTACCACCAATAATGGTACTAACAGTACTAATACTTAGAGTAGTCCCTAGATTTAGTGTGGTTTGCTCAGACTGAAGCTGCTGTCCGCATTTTTAAGTCCAGAGAGAACTGTTCAGTGAGGTGGAGGAAAGTCAGAAAGGGGAGCTGGGACTCCCACATTTCAACCTTGCAGTGGCTTCATCTGGCAGGGCTGGATGAGATGGGGAAAAGAGGATTCACGGTGGGGAAAGGCAGGGGACAAGCCACAGCTTTCTGCACAGAGCTGGTAGCATTATCCCTTAAGCCAGAAGGTTTTCCATGGGGTTCTGGGGTTGCTCAGGCTGGGGAAGGAGGCACTGGTGACAGGGGGCTTGTGAGAGAGTGTGGGGCTTGTCCCTGGTGGGGGACATCCCATGGGAGGGGATGTCAATTACTTTTCAGTGGAGAATGATGATGATAGTGCCGGGATCTGGCATTTTGCTTTTTACAGGGGTAAAGAGGTGGAGCTTCTGCTCCAGCTTCTGCTCCCGCTCACATCCCCTGCCTGCCTCGCGGCTGCCGTACGGCAGCGTGGGTGTCCCAGGGAAGAGGGGGGAGGAGGTCTGTGCCCAGCAGCCGCGGGGCAGGCACAGAATCACAGAATCTACCAGGCTGGAAAAGACCTCTGAGATCATCGAGTCCAAACTTTGACCCAACACCACCTTGTCTACTAGACCATGACACTAAGTGCCACATCCAGTCTCTTCTTAAGCACCTCCAGGGCCCGTTCCAATGCCCGATCACTCTTGCTGTGAAGAACTTCTTCCTGATGTCCATCTTAAACCTCCCCTGGTGCAGCTTAAGACCGTGCCCTCTTGACCTACTGCTGGTTGCTCGGGAGAAGAGACCGATACCCACCTCGCTACAACCTCCTTTCAGGAGCGTAGCCAGAGCAAAGACGGGGGTCCGGGAGGGATACGGACGAGGATACCGGCAGGATGCCGGCAGGGATACGGGTAGAGATACGGGCAGGCATACCGCCGGTGCGTGGGCGGGGCGGTCCGTCTCCACCCCCTGGGTGCCGATTGGTGCGGGGCTGGTGCCGGGGCGGTGCGGGGCGGTCGGTCCGGCGGCGCGGAGCGGGGCCATGCGGCAGCCCCGGGGCGGCGGCGGCGGCGGCGCCGCCTTCCTGCCCGCGGCGCGGTGCGGAGCGGCGGCCGGAGCGCCCCGCACAGCCATGGGCGATGGGTGGCTGCCGCCGGACTGCGGCCCCCAGAACCGCTCCGTGGCCGGGGTGACGGCGGTGCCGCCCGGGAGCAGGCAGCTGCCCGCCGCCGAGCTGCTGTCGCAGCAGTGGGCTGTGGGCATGAGCCTGCTGATGGCCCTGGTGGTGCTGCTCATCGTGGCCGGGAACGTGCTGGTGATTGCGGCCATCGGGAGGACGCAGCGGCTTCAGACGCTCACCAACCTGTTCATCACCTCGCTGGCCTGCGCCGACCTGGTGATGGGGCTGCTGGTGGTGCCCTTCGGGGCCACGCTGGTGGTGCGGGGCACCTGGCTCTGGGGGTCCTTCCTCTGCGAATGCTGGACCTCCCTGGACGTGCTGTGTGTGACGGCCAGCATCGAGACCTTGTGCGTCATCGCCATCGACCGCTACCTAGCCATCACCTCACCTTTCCGCTACCAGAGCCTCATGACCAAGGGTCGGGCCAAGGGCATCATCTGCACCGTCTGGGCCATCTCTGCCTTGGTCTCCTTCTTGCCCATCATGATGCATTGGTGGCGGGACGAGGACCCCCAGGCGCTGGAGTGCTACCAGGACCCGGGCTGCTGCGACTTCGTCACCAACAGGGCTTATGCCATCGCCTCGTCCGTCATTTCTTTCTACATCCCTCTTCTCATCATGATCTTTGTGTACCTCCGGGTGTACAGAGAGGCCAAGGAGCAGATGAGGAAGATCGATAGGTGCGAGGGCCGCTTCTACGGCAGCCAGGAGCAGCCGCAGACGCCCCTGCCCGCTCACCCTCACCACCAGCCCATCCTCGGCAACGGCCGAGCCAGCAAGCGAAAGAGCTCCCGCATCATGGCCATGAAGGAGCAGAAAGCCCTCAAGACTTTGGGCATCATCATGGGGGTGTTCACCCTCTGCTGGCTCCCGTTTTTCTTGGTGAACATCGTCAACGTCTTCAACAGGGACCTGGTGCCGGACTGGCTCTTTGTTTTCTTCAACTGGCTGGGCTACGCCAACTCCGCGTTCAACCCCATCATCTACTGCCGCAGCCCCGACTTTCGTAAGGCCTTCAAAAGGCTGCTCTGCTGCCGCCGGAAAGCCGACCGGTGGCTGCACGGCGGCGGCGGGGAGCTGGCCCGGCTGCCCGGGGGCTTGATCAGCACCGTGGGCTCCCCCGAGCGCAGCCTGGCAGGGACCTGGTCCGACTACAACGGGGGCACACGGGGCGGCAGCGAGTCCAGCCTGGAGGAGAGACATAGCAAAACCTCCGATTCGGAGTCCAAGGTATAGGGGGGCCGTGGGGGGCCGCGTCAGACTCGGGACAGGGGGGGAATGGCAGGCAGGGAAACACGAAGGAGCAGAGTAATCCCCGGCAGATGCCTGATGGTAATGCTATTGCCAAGCGAAACGATCCCTTGCCTTCGCAGGGAGAGTGCGGGTGTTTACTTAGGAATAAAAGCAGGTGAAGTGGTGTACGACATACCTCATCCGAAACTACAGCAAACAGGAAACCCACTGACCGGAGAACAAAGGAAATAAACAGCCCGTCCCAGGGACAGCCACCTTGTCTTTAGGAAGCGCGCTGTCGACGGGGGCTGCGGCAGGAGCGCCTGCACTCGGGTGCCTGTCCCGGGACCGTGCTGGAGGCTGAACCCGAGCCTTTGACGGCTGAATTCGGCTGCATTTGGGGTCCCGGCCACCCCCGCCTCGCCCTGGGGTTCATCCCCTCACCCAGAGCACCGGGTTTTTGGGAGGCGCAGGGTCGGTGCCGCAGGTGCTCCGGGCACAGAGTACGGCTGGCGAGACTGGAGATCTGCTGCCAAGATGAGTTTTGAGCTCAGAGTAGCCGTGCTCTTCCCTTCCGCAGAGTAGCGATAGGGAAAAATAATGAGTAATGAGGAGCACTGGTATATTTTGAAAGGGGGTAAAACAACCTAACCCACACTCTTGTGCTTGTTCCCTCTGCATCAGCAAGCAGTGAGTTACTGCGCTTATCTCCTTCGGCCAGACAATAGCAGTCAGGCTGAGAAACTTCTACCTCAAACTGTGCATATTGTACAGGGGAATGAACGGACCATGTTTATATTAAACAGCATATTTACATACCGCTAACAGGATTTTATGAAAAAAGGGGCGGGGGGGGGGGGGGGGGGGGGAGCCTTCTGCAGCTTGTTCATTGTAATAACAGATGAACGGGGGAGGAGGGGGAGAATCCCTGCAACAAAAATTTACTGCACATTTTTTAAAAAATGTCAGCAAAGCCTCTTCTTGCACAGTGTTAAGAGTTGTAAAGTTATTTGAAGATGTTACTTGCACACACACACGCAAATTGAAAAGGAAACGGAGGTTTGAGTAACACTGACCCTGAACCTGATTTCTGGTTTTGTCTGATCTGTTATAGTTTTATTGAGAGAGTGACTTTTTTAATATTATTTTTTGAAGGTACTGTAAATATATCATATTATAAATTAAAATATCTTATGAGACTTTATTATTTTTATTTTTATTTCCAAATGCCCACGTGAATCTGCTGTTGTTTTAGCACATGTGTGTCATTTCCATTTTCCTCTGTGTGTGTGTTTTATAACATATTTATACTCTGGTGCAATTTACTACTGTGTAAGTAATTGGTCTATGTGCAATAAATACCATTGCAGCACAAACAAGTGTGTCTCTATAGGTTTTGAAACAATACCTACTTATAATGGGAAGAACAGCATTTGTTTTTCTCCAAAGATGGCTCAGATTACCAATACAACTCTATCTAATGGCTTTTCCTGACACAGTGTTGTAAAAAACCTGTTTGAAACGCAGTAAGGTTGTGTTCCTGTTGCACTGAGGTCCAGTGACTTCCCTTAAAATTAGTGGCTAAAAGACAAGGTGTTTCCACTCTGATAATGAATACACTCATTTTCTCGAACTATTCCTTTCTGGAATATATTCTTTATTGGAGTTTCTTTGGGGTTTGGTTTTTTTGGGGGGGTTTTTTTGGTTGTTTTTTTTTTTTTTGTTAGGAGTACGAGGCCGGGAGTCAAGAGACCAAATAGTTAAGATTACAGAGGATGTTTAATTTGAAAGCTAGAAATGGTCTTGAGTAGAAAGAAATCTCCATGTGCATTACATGCCACCCCACAAGTAGGTCCACCTCATGCCTGATCCTGCTCAAGCGATGTGGGTGATGTGTGTCCGGTGGGATAGATCCTGGTGCTGAGTGAGGAAGTTGGAGGAGACCCCTGCCCAATGAGTACCAGGGGGGGCTCATGCCCTGTAAGGGGAGATGGCAGCCAGGGAGCCGGTCAGAGGAGTCCAGGCTTTGGTTCCTTCCTATTGTAATAAAGGAGCTGCCCTTTGAGGGAATGGAAAAAGCATAACTGGAGCAGGATTGGACTCTGGGACAAACTTAAACACTGAAGAAACCTCTTCTGTGTCACTGAGTGAAATAAAAGTACCTGGTTGGTAGATGATAAAGCTAAAGGTCACATGCAGCGTGCTGCCGACAGTCACATACTCCTTGGGGGCCAGATCATGGTAACTGAATGTTTAATTTTTGACTGATCGAAGTTAGGAGGTACAGTGAACAGAAGTGCTGTAGATTTGTGTCCCTAGTTCAAAAGAGTGTCTTCCTTTATTGCTTTATGAAAATACGCTGTATCCTTGTGGTTTCATAAAGTTTTTCATTACTGAAATGAATACACGACAGATAGAGCAACAAAACCCTAGTGCAGAATAAAAGTGAAGCCATTTTTAGCTTTATAAAACTCAGAAGCATAGTTTAATTAAAAATCAGTTCCCAAGAAGAGCACTTCCCAAAGCAAGTTCTTTAGGGTGGTGGCTAATGGTTTGTTTTGGAAACCATTTGTTCATTCTTTTTGTTTTCAAAGTTATGGAATTTGTCCTTTGCAATTTCTAATGTTGTGTTTCCACGGGGAAAAAAAGTTACGCTTTTTATGAAAAGACAAAATAAAGGGACCAGGAAAGTAAATAATACTTTTCCATTGATGTTACTGGGGTTTGGTGTGAGTTGCAGTTAATGGTGTCTCCCTTGACAATAGTGAAATGGGGTTCCTGAAATGCTGGGTTGACATCAGATCAGGAGCTAAGGGAAGTGGGCTTTGCCACCAGATTTTTTTTTTTTTTAAAATCTGGTTTTATCTGTGATTACAGCAAATTCAACAGGATCAGAAGGGCGCACCGGATGGCAATGTCTCACGTCAGTGACTGCAGGGAGATGTTGGCTGTGCACGTTGGGGTTGGGACAGGATGGGGAGGCAGCACTGCTCTCCCTGTGTGCCTTGGGGATCGCAGCAAGCCAGGGCAGGACCAGGTCCCTTCCTGCTGGGTAGAGCAGGACAGGATCCGGCCCCAGTGCCCAGCTGGGAGCTGCAGTGGCTGCCAAGCCCTCATCCTTGGCAGGGTGGCAGATCCTGGGGAAGCACAGTGCCTACTGCATGGAGCAGGGCAATCTAACGGACTTGGCTCTTGATCTCATAAATCAGTTCACATACTTAATTTTAACCACCCAAACGCTTATGTTCTTGGACTTCAAAAAGTGGTGAAAATTTTGCCTCAAAAGGGTCTGACTTAGGTGAGAAATTTATGGCCAGAACTTGCTCAGCTTCTCCAGCCAAATAGCTGTGTTGGGTGATGCTTCTCCTGGACAAGTGAAATGGCATTGAGGTAGGATGAATTTAGTCCATTGGCTGCAGAAGGGCCAGCTTTGTCAGCAAAGCAATCATGATTTGTCTGCTGTTGAGTTTCTGCCAGCTTAGGACTTGCTGGAAGAGTCTGGAGGCTGACACATTGAGTGCCTTCATGGACAGCTAAGGTAATCCACCTGGCAGCCCGGATGGCAGATGCCAGTCCATCTTGCATGGCATGAGACAAGCAGTGGCACAGTAACGGTGCAGACAGAGCAGGACATATGGCACACACGTGTCCGAGGAACTGGAGGCTGCTGGCGAGCAGTTTGCTGTGGATCATGCTCAGAACAGGCTGTTCTCTGCAGAGAAGAAGGATACTCTGAAAAGTGTTGTGGGGCAGCTGAAATACTCCGGAGGCAATGAGTCAAACGCTCACGATGAATATTTTTTTCTGACGAAAACCAGACGTGGATTAGCAATTGGAGCTGCAAGTCAGAAAGTATAGGTGGTAGGCATGCAGCTGCACACGTACATGGGCAGGAAAGTAACAGCAAAGAGCCACAGGCCTGCAGGGAAGAGAGACACAGGTAAACCAGAAATCCACTCAGAGAAAATGTCCTGCAGCTGCCAGGACCAAAATTATTTGGCAAGGATGCCTGAGTCTTCCACATGGAAGATGACAGATTCTCACAGGCGCCGGCCTCACTCTAAGCAGTGTTTGCTCAGCACTTCTGAAAAGAAGGCTGCTTCACTCCACATGTTTAAATGGGAATATATTGGATTGAAAGCCTGGATTCAGTTTTCCATGTGCTCAGGAAAGTTGAGGCTGTTTCAGACGTGCAGCAGGCTATTGAAGGCCCTGCAGAAGGACTCCCCACTTGTGAGAGCTGCACAGAAACCCTCCTGCAAATTTGCTGCACTTGAAGACTGCAACCCTCAGCATCCACTGGCTGTAGCTCCAATCAGCATGAAACTATGTGCAAAAAAAGTGGCTTATGATCTGAACCATGCCTGTAGCAGATGCAGCGTTTGATAGCATCAGCTGGGTGTTTGTGATGCAGGCCACACCGGTTCTTCTCCAAACACTGCTTTCCCTCTTTGCTGACGTGTTTTCAACTATAAGGACAACTTCTTTATCAGATTTATTTTTTTTTCTCTAAACCCTATCTGAGGTTGCGGTTTTATTAATAACTTTTAAATGGCTATTTTGCCAACCTTTCTTGTGCCGCACACTTTCCTAATTTATTGTAATTTCCCGTCTGGTGGAGTGCATTTACTTCCTTTATGTAATATATCAGCTGCAGGGCTGGAAATTGGGCAGCTATGAACTGAAAGAGCAGACTTTCGTGAGGCCAAATGCGGTCAGGCATCATTGCCACCGGGAGCAGAATTTGACCTGATAATCTAATCTCATCCGAGGGACTATCTCCAGAAAAGTATTGTTACCAACAATAAATGACCTCTGCTAATGAAGCTGGAGCAATTAGTCCTGTTTAAAGCTGTCGAGAAAATGTTAACTGCTAAACAACAGTTAATATTGGATAGCTCAGATAATGAGTGTTTTGTTTGCTGGTGTGTGTTAGGTGATGTGTTGGGAAATAATTATCCTTTGACTAGCAGCCAGCTTTGTACTAATCAGAAAGGAGAAGTCATGTTCTCTTTGAAGGATTATACCTAAAAATAGTTCTGTTACCACCACGTCAACGAATGAAATGAAGCAAATTCATGGAGTTGTACACACCTTCTTAACGTTTCACTTTTCATCCTAAAAACTCATTGTTTAACTGGAACTTTCTGTTTGATCGTGTCAAAAGCACTAATGTGATCTCCTGCAATAGCAGTAAGCACACTCCCCCTGAAGGAGCATTCCCCTATGCACCACTGACTCGCTTTCAAAGCCTGCCAAATTCCCAAACGTCCCAGGAGGAAGTAAAGATTCTTTCTCTTTATATAAACAATCACGTATAATGTAAGATCAACAATATTTGTGATCATCATCTCGCAGAAGAAATCAATATGCTTTTTCTTTGAGATGTTTGTGTGCCTGACCATCCATGAGGAGCAGACCCATGGTAATAGGAGTGATTTATCCTTTCAAATCAGTAGCTTCAGGCTGTCAAACTCTGCTTGAAAAAAGTGAGCAAGATGGGAAAAGGATAAAAAAGGTGATGCTGGTAAGCAAACCCAGGATTGTCATTGCAAAAAGAAAAACTGGGACATCTTTGGCCATGCTATAGATGTTACCTTTTACTGGATAGGGAAGCACCAGACAGAGGCATTGTGGAAACAGAGGTTAAGAAGTGTGAGAGGTAAGACACCCTCTATACAGGGCCATGCCACCACGGGACTGGCAGCTGAAACATGCCCAAAAAACATTCCTCAAAGTTTTTCTTACTCTTTTTGGGTAACAGCAGCAGACTAAAGCACACCAGAGCAACTTCTCAGCTCAGGCAGCTCCCTGGCCAACCATGGCTCCCAGGACACAAACAACCCCCTCAGCATCTCCCCTTTCCCTCTGAGTAGCATCCTCTCAGGTGGTTCCAAGCAGGAGGTGCCCCATGGCCTCCAGGGGTGGCAGTGCTGCGGGGGGGACGTGTGGGTGCTGCAGGGTGTGCCCACTGTGCCGGGCATGCTGGTGCAAGCTGCTGCTGACTGTGCCACTGCCCTGAGTCATCGCTCTGTCCTGCAAACACCAGTGACAGAATCAGGCCCATCGTGCTGGAAATGTTCAGGTTTGTTATGTGAACTGCTGATCAGCTTCCTGGTTCACCAAAAGTGGCATCTTGGCAGGCACATTTGCTTCACAAACTGTCTTTTTTTTCCTTCCCTGCCCCATTCAGCTCCCAGGTTTTTTCGCGGCAATGTTTGCATGCTCAGACTTAGCACCCAACAGCACAAGTTTTTTGGTCGTGCCCTAGCAGCAGTCTGCATCCAGACATGAATAGTACCATGCTGGTCAGTGTCTGGGTTTGGGCATACCCATTCCTTCCAGGATTGATGCTCAAATTTATTAATACCAGCTGCAACAGAGTGCAAAATTCCCAGACAAATAGAAAATCAGTCTTGACCTCCAGGTTCACAACCTAAAGGAGAAAGCAGAAGCTTACCCAGACTTTTGCCATTGCCATGATTAGCAGAGCATCTCAGATGTAATGGTGTGTCTTTCCCTTCTGATCCTGTGTAATGCACTGAATCCTGTTGTCCTTAATGAGATTAGATGAGGATTTTCTACTAGGTCAGTGCTTTAGCCATTAGCCACTGTTGTGTGTCTCTAAGCAGTGATGTACCTTTGCAAGCCTGGCCCCATGTCTCTCTCAAAGCCATGATATTTAGCTTCTTCCTACCAAAATCATTTTGCTAATTGGTCTTAAGCTCATTGGCACAATGCTTTGAAAGGCAGATCTAAGTGTATGCACCAAAGAGGCAGACAGAGACACTAAAGAGCTCAAAATCTCAGAAGCTGCTGGGTTACAGCTACCGACAAGTCATTTTGCTGGGCCAGCAGCCTCCTCAAAGGCTGTCAGCTGCCCTCCCTCAGAGGGGGACTGCAGACTTCCCTGCCACCATAGAAACAATTGCAGGGATAACACAATAGCTCATGACAAAAGATTTGCCAGGTGGTAAAATTTAAACAGTGTTTTGTGTCCAAAATTTAAAGACCTCTTGTTAAGAAGTAGTAGTTGAGACAAGCCCCTGGCAGGATTTCCTAGTGGGGAAGGGAGAACAGTGTTCCGAGTTAAAGTTTCCATGTGCAGATGAAGTGTGCTGACTGGTCCAGTAGGGGTCCAGTAGGGGTTACAGATGCCACTGCCCTGTGCAAGCCATGCTGATGGGCAAGTGCCACCCCAGGGACAGCTCACGGTGCCCCCAGTCACCTCCCTCTGCTCCCATTCAGGTGTATAATGTGTGCCCCTCTCACCCGCCCAAGTGTCAGAGGGGACCCCAGAGGTATCCTGAGGCACAAAGGTGAGTGCCAGCCCCAGCATTGTGCTGTGGAGGGAGGAGTGCTTCCTGTAGGACTGGAGCAGGTGAACTGTGAGTCCCACAGAGCTCCCATTGTTTCACAGTTTGCCTGCTCGAAGACTTCAGCAAGAAGTGTTTTGTTTATCTGTTCTTCCCCTAAATACTCACTTGGGAGCCATCAAATAAAATCTCCATTAGCTCACTTAGGACACCAGGGCAGTGTGGGATGCTCCCCTGGCAGGAGCTGTCCTCTCTCTGCTAGGGAGGCGGAGGCAAAGGCGAAGGCGGGGGGGCGATGGGACCTGTTGCTGACACGCTCCCCCGACTTAAGCATCGCTGGTACCCTGGCAGGTTCCCATCAGTAGACTAGGACAGCCACGCTGTCAGTGCATCCAGACTGGATCTGACACAGGAGCATAAACAGCTTGTGTCAAATCCTTGGGCTTTTTCGAGCTTTTACCTAATACGGAGCACAAGGCAGCTGCTCTTGCAGTAATTGCCAGTAACAACAGGTGTTGCAGCACTGCTCTAAACCACCTTGAGAGCATCCACAGGAGAGGTTTTGTTCCTGTTTCACTGCCAGGTGGTTACCAGCTATCTGTCAGCAGGGTAGGTGCATGTCTGTGGTTTTCAGCATCAGCCCATCCAAGCCAGGGCTGGTGCTTGCACCCTCCTCCCCTCAACTCCCATTGCGTGTCCTGCTGCCCACCCTGGCTCTGCTGCCTTTGCAGCCATGTGGGCAATGGGCTCCTCTGGCTGAAAACCAGCCCTTTCAGACAAGGTTTGTTTCAGCTGAGCCACACAGGTTGCACGAACATGGGTAACAAACAAATTCATGAAGGTCATAGGAAACATGCAGAGTGATGGGGCAGAGATCATCTGTTTTGGTAGCAGCCCTGATTTGAATCCATCACTGACCACAGATCTCATGTCCAGTGGTGATGCTCCAGAAGCTGAGGCTCAGACCAGCACCCTCTGGCCTGTCATTTTGCTTGACCCATGCTTGAAAAGGAGGACTTGCCACCCACACCTTCCCTCCCTTTAGAGGCTGATCTGAATATTCTATTCAGAAGCTTAATGACTAAGTCATTAAGCCTCTCATTGCATGTGAAAAACGAAAATAAATTTAGTTTTGTACAAATACTCCTGTGATGGAAGAAAAACATTATTTAAGTCTGATGATCCATGAGACCACGGTGAAGAGCATGGGACAAACTCCTCAACTCTTGGCAGAGATCAGGACCAGGGGAGCTGAATGAGCTACTCAGGTACTGGGTGACAACACTAAACTGTCCCCAACTGCAAGAGGGTGATATGGCCCCAAGCCATGAGCAGTGGAAAAAATAATTCCCCAGGAAGAGCAGCTCTGTTTGCCCAGAGTGTATATATGGATCCCAACACTGATGGGCACCACTGAGCTGTTAGGGGCTTGTGAGCAATCCCCATCACCTGTGTCTTCTGGTGGATGATGTTTAACTGCTTTTATTCCTGCACACTTCACTTATGTGGGAGCAAGGAATGTGGTGATAAAAAAGCTGGAATGATTTCAGTGCTGGATAGTTTCCATTAATATATTTCTCATTATATAACACTGCCATCACAGTACAAAATCCAGTAGGATTTTGCCTTTTAGGAAGGTGGAACATTTCTACATGGCCTTAACTAAGTAAATGGGATTGTAGAGCAGGCTGGGCTTTGATGGGATACTTTTTAATTGTACCAGATGTGTTTGGGCTGTTGCATGGTATGAATATCAGTGCCATAGTCTGGGAAGCACAGCGGGGTTGGATCAAGGGTTGAACTTGATGATCTTGGAGGTCTTTTCCAACTCGGATGATTCTGTGATTCTGTGATTCTGTGTGAATTGCTTTGCCTTTACATTACAAGTCACTTCATAAATTAAACAGTTGATGTTGTCAAATGCATGCCATTAGCACTCCCAGCAGATAATCCTTCCCGTGGCCTCATCAGAGTCTATCACAGGGCCTGTCTCCAGATAACGACCTGGAAGAAGAACAATGGTGCTCCCAGCTCCCAGGGGCCTCCACTCTTTGGTTCTGCGCTTCAGAAGAGAAAAATTATCCTTATCTTCATGGCTCAAGCTCCCTTTGAAATGCAGTTATTTTTTACTCATACACTCCAAGTATTTTTTGCATGATATCGGTGAGAAACTTGAAACCCCCTTTGCAAAGAGAAAGATTTCCTGCAGCCCTTCTACTAAAGAAAATGGATAGATCAAGTAGTAAAGTTCAATGACTTACTTAGCATTAAATAAGAAAGAGAATAATGAATTGGATTTTGTGTGCCTGTTTTTCCTCTGGAGGGAACAGTCAGGCTAATGGATTTTCATTGCCTTGTGCTTCTGTTCATCAATCTAGGTGAGTTCAAAACACTGCTGCCTTTTTGTGTTCTCCTTTCCCTGCTCGCTTGTCACAACTTGAAGTATTTGGAGCTTAACAAACTCATTGGTTTTCTGCCATCAACACCATCTTGACCAGTGAGGAAAACACACAGGGTCAAGATGCACACCCCCTGCACCCAACAATGACTACATGGACATCTGTATTTTATGCCCTGTAGCTGCAAGTAAGCAATTCCTTACCTAGGGTGGATACTAGTTTCCTAGTATTATGAGTTTAGGCTTTAACATTCTTCAAAAGAGACATTATTTCCCCACTGGGTTCACCAAAAACTGGTTGGATCTCCAAACCCCTCCTTTGTTTACAGGCTTTGCCAAGCACACTGTAGGGCTTTTATTGGGGAAGGAAGGGAGGAGGCAGAGGAGGAAACTGTTACAAAGCTATTTAACATAAACAACTTTCTCCTGTAAATTCCAAACACCACTTGGCAAGGAAGAGGTTAAAGTTAGGGAGTGGAATGGGGGGGATCATTAGGGCAAAGCTATAAATAGCAAATTGGGAAGCTCAGGGAGAGACATGGGGGAAGGCAAAGATGAGCTGACCCCAAATGGGGTGGACTCTCTGGCTTGCTGGAAGCCCTCTGCTGCTCTGCCCTCAGGGTTTGGATCTGGGTCTCCCCTAAGGCATGTCGAAGCTGGGGAATTGCTCAGATAGAAATCCTGCATAACTGACTGAGAGCCATATTTGTTCAAAGGTGAACCTGAAAGGTCTCTACAGAGCCAGAAATTGCTACTGCTCCTTCCTGCCTCAAATCTTTCCTGGGTCTGCCAGCGCCTGCCCAGAGCCAGGGAGCTGCTCTCTACCTACTTGGAGCAGGATTTCCATTTTCCTACCAGCCTTGGTGCCTCAGGCTTTGTGGTCTGTTTTTTGTCTGAATGGGAAATGCATAATGAGAAACTGTTTAAACAACTTATGGTACAAGGAAACTGGAGTACAGTACAGCACTCTAATTTATTTCCAAGGAAATTATGCGTCCTCCAAAAGCACTCCACTCAAGCACTGCAGTTTAAAGTTGGAACATAATTGCTGGCCATCCTGGGTGTGCTGCCTGCAGCCCTCAGCTAGGTCCAAGTGTGGTGTGCAAGGAGGGTAGGAGTCTGCCAAGATCATCGGTGCTGCTATCTGGCTTTGCCACCAGCAGCCATTCATCAGCATCAGCAGGTTATTGCAGATCTTTGCACACAATGAGATGCTCCATGTGGTTATAACTCTGCCAGTGAAGCGGTGCCAGGCAATGTTATATAAACTCTGTGCCAACTAATATGTTAAGATACACACAAATGTTAGTGAGGGCATTTCCTTCACAGTGTTTTCACCCATAGCAGCTCTGTGGACCAAGATGACAAGGAACAGAGAGTACCCAAGCAAAGGATCATCTCCCCTATGCCCCAGCCTGTAAGTAAGGTTGGCACTTTGGCACAGTTGAATGCCTGAGGTTCAGGGAGGGTCTGCCTGTTAGAGCTGTCCTGGCTGTTGCTTTGCTTACGCGGGTAATTCTGGTCAGCCTGGTGCTGGTGAAGTAAAACCCAGGAACCAGGAAAGCCACAGAGGAATTCTCTTGTTCTATTTTCAGCCCTACACAAAAAAGACTTCAGATCAGATGCATTTCTGAAACTTATCTATGTGAATATTTGACTCCTTATCCAAGCAGAACAAAAGCCTCCAAACCTTCTGAGGTCTATCCATCAAGAGCCTTATCTCCCCATGTCACCGTTCAGCTCCTGGCTGCTGCTGCTTGGAGCCTCCTGCAAGCTCAGCTCTGACCACCAGCTTCCCATTTCCCCTCTCCAGGCAGCTCTGCAGCATTATCCACAGTCACCTCCTTGGCTCCCTGCCACTTCAGTGATGACCTCTGCACTACCTGCAGGCCTGGGCTGCTGCATGCTCCACAGCCAGCCAGCTTCGTGATGGGCTGTGTTGGTGCTGCTGTATCACAGCCCATCATCTTCATCCCCCACACACATACGTAGCCTGGGCTATGGCCATAGCCATGACCAGAGCAGAGCACACTGACTCAGCTTGTCCCTAACAATGGAGAATGTTTGTCTTTTTTAATGGGATATTAATGAAGCTTGGATAAAGTCCTCCGTCTGAGGTTCAAAGACTGAAATATCCGGGGAGAATATTTCTGATCCCCTTCCACCTGACAGTCGCTGGTCCCCTCTGGCAGGGGCATCCTCAACTGCTGCCGTCAGGCTGCCAGAGATCTCAGTTAGCACCCCTAAAAACCCAGGTAGGCTCTACCCTGGTAAATGAGCGTGGTCCCTGAGCTGCTGGGAAGCACCAGGAGCAGAGCAAGCACACAGAGGGGCACCAGCATCATCAGCCCTGTGGAGGTTCCTGGCCACGTAAAATAGCTGCATAGTGAGACTTAATGCCCAGTTTATAACATGTGTTACTCAGCCTTGTTGGAGAAGTCTCTGCAGTGCATTGTACTCGGTATCAGGGCCACAAGACATTCCTTGCTTTGAAGCTGAGCTGGCACAAGAAGTTTTCTGCAGTCCTGCTGTCCTGTCAAAGCTGTGGCCAAAAACAACAGGGTGAAGACTTTGGAAAGAGTCACCCATCCACAGTGTAACTGATTTAAAAGAGGGGTCTGGCTGGCTCAGGGCTTGAGAACAGCTTTCATACAGGTCAGATGTTGAGATCATGTGCACCACGATGGGGTTCAGAGATCTCTGCTGCTTGGTACCACTTGGTCTCAGCCCAGATCTAGATAAGCTTCGGAATCGGGGTGGCCTTTTCCAATGGGCCTATTTTCCTATGGTCCTTTTCTCAGGAGGCTCTGATGAGTGGGCTGTTACTGCTCTCCTCCCTGTGGTTTTAATTTTTTTCTGTTTTATAGTCAGAGGGGTAAAGCTAATTCCCATCTCATATATAACAATGAATTTGACTCAATAACAAGAAGATCAATGTACTTTTTATACTGTGGTGTATGATAAGCTATTTATAAATAGCATATCACTTCTGGATCATTGTCAGAGTTTAAAATAAACTTGTAATTTAACCATAATTTTCCAGTGTTGACAGATATGATAAATACATTTTTGTTCCAATAAAACCTAATTTCAGCAATGTTTTGCAAAAATCATTAGAAGCTAAGGATTATGTCCCTGATTTTTTTTGCTTTGTTTGTCTCCATGTTCCAGTGTTTACTTTAATGTTACATTCCATTATAGAAAAAAATCTGTGTTTGCAATAATTTGTTTTCCAAGGCCCCTGCTTAAGGGATGGAAGGATGTTCTTGAAAAAACTGATGGAGAGAGGCATCAGCTCATGTCACAAAGGTCTTGGGGCAGTTGCAGCACCTCTCTGGACTATTAAGGGACACTCCAAGATTTTTCTGCTATCAAGCATTTTCATTCTTCGGTAAAACAGCTCTTAAATCAGTTAGCATTGCACTGTAGATGTAAATGCAGCACAACAGAGCCCTTCCAGGTTGTGAGGTGAGTGGGTCCGATCCTGCTCTTGAACACAAAAGCACAAGGAATGTTGAACAGGAAAAACAGCTTGTTTTAAAGTGCTTTAAAGCTGCTGTCTGCCTTCTGAGCCCTGCAGTTTACAGCCCATACTTCTCACGCCGCCTCCCCGTTAGACAGTCAAACAGGAGATGATGCTATTTGGAGAGCAAGCCTGTATGCTGCAGGCATGAAAGCACTGATACTTGTATCCACATGGACTGGCCTTTGCCTGTCAGGAGCTTCCAGAAAATACCCAGGAAAGGGGCATGCAGAAGGGGAGAGAGGTCTTCTGGTGGGCTGCCATGTCCCTCAGGCTGCTTTCATGGTGATACCTAGAGGACATCATTGATGCAGCCAACTATGATAATCCTTTCAGTGGAAACAGGTGCTGGAGGATAATCCTGCTGTTTTCCTTGGTTATGGTTCTCTTCGGTCACTAAGACTGAGCAAACAGGATTATCATAGCAGCGGTTCAGGATGTGAAGTTGCTGGTGCTGTGTGCCTGTGGCTCTGTGGACATTTGTTTCCAAGGCAGGCACTGGCTTCGCTCAGCAGCCTGTCCTGGTGAGGGCAGCAGGTGAGCAGGTGAGCCAAGGGGCTTTGCTGGCCACTGCTGAGGTCCTTGCTCAGATCTGCACCATGACCCTTGGGGATGAGGGCTGAATCCCAGATGCAAAGTCCATGCTCCCTACAGCTTTCCCAGGAAGATGCCTTCCCCAGCTCCCCAGGTGCGGGTAGGATGGAGACTGCCCAGCCACGCATTGTCCCAAAACGTGAGCTGGGCAAAGCCACTGACAGAGGAGCTGGGGGATGACAAGTGGTGGCAGCTCTGTCTGGGCTGCCAGATCTTCTTTGCCTGGGAAGGTCTGAGGCACTGCAAACACCCTTGGGATTCACAGTGAACCAGCCCATCCTGACCCTGTGAAACTTCAGAGCAAGTCCCTGTGTAAGTGCAGGCTCATGCCTCCAGGAGGCTTTAATGCACTGTAAGGTTTTGGTTTAAATCCCTGAAGTGCTGCACTCATCCATTCCCGCTCAGCCCACTTCCACTGCTCTTAGAGCCCAGCCTGCACCCTGGTGACTCTCCTTGCTGTGCAAACCCAATGCCTCTCTGCTCCTGTTTTACTGCCTTTTGCTTTGCTGATAACACCCCCTGAGCCCCCCTGCTGATTCCCTTCTCCACCAGCAAAGGAGGGCATGTGAGGTTCTTGGCATCAGCCTTTATACAGTCTTGTGCACAGACGCCTGCTCCCCAATACTGGCTTGCTTTGGGCATTCCCTGATACCTAATTTCAGTAACAGAAAATCAATTGATCTTGGCTTCGTGGTTTTGTGGCAATCTCGGCCCAAAATAACAAACTACAAAATAAACATATGTGTACAGCATGTATAGCAAACTGCAGGAATAGGAACTAGGGACATGCAGCTCGGGGAGGGCTGTTAAAGCTCCAGCTTGTAGCTGTGCTGATAAGGCAATTTCCAAGAAATTACCCAGCCCTTGAATTCTAGAAGCTCTCTTCCCAGGTCAACAACCTTTTGTGGACTGAATCCTGGTGTCACTCTATGAGCAAACGCGGGCCAGACAGGACCTTCTGCAAATGGTACAAAAAAGAGGAGAATCTGTGTTGGTAGAGAAGGGGTCCAAAAACTTTCTGGCATAGGTAACAAAAAAAAAACCACAATGAAAAGCACATTTGGTAATTCTGGTAGTTTGGGAAAGCACAACAAAATGTGCTTCAACTTTATTCTTCTTTGGACGAGTCTCCTCCTTGCCTGAGAGGGGATAAAGGTGGTGTTAGCTGAGCTGCTGCTCTCCCTGTCCCGCTGTTTGGGCTCCCTCCAAAGTCTCCCCTATTCCTAGGGAGCACTCCATAAGCCCCAGGAGCAGGGCTCTGCACCCGGGCTGCTCCAGCACCAGCTCCCCCACAGCTCCACTCCCTGCTTTTGACCAGCCTTAACTTCAGACATGAACAAAGGCTCTTTGGAGAGCAGATTTTCCATAACATCCCGCAGCTCCATTAGTAGAAATGTTGAGCGGCTCCAGTGAGAGCACAGGCAGGGCTGATTAGACCCAGTTGTTTGGCTCCTTCATTTCACAGGGATTTTATAAAATATCTTATGCAGGTGCAGGAGTTGACACAACAGAGCATGCACCGTGTTAGAGTCTGTCCAGCTTGTGTGTAAACACCACTAGTCCCTTTTTCAAACTCTTAGGAGCTGTTTCATAAACACAAAATACTTTGCTTAATTTCCAAATCACATGAGGTTTCCTCAGCAGGGCCAGTGGTGGAGGACACTGCAGAGCAGCCCCAGTCCTGTGGAGCAGCCCCAGGTCACTGCCAGAGCTGGCAGCAGAGGCAGGCAGAGGCTACCACCTGCTGGGCCCTCCTTAGTGACTCCTACTCTGAACGTCTCCACAGTGCCATTTAATGATGGTAGGAACGCTGTGTGCTGAGGATCATGACACAAACACCTCTGGCCAGCCCTTTGTCACTAACAGAGCTCTTGACATGCAAGCCATGTAGACAGGGAGGATGCTCAGTCGGTAGCTTTGGGCACTTGACCTCTTTCTTGCTCATTTTGAGTCTTCCAGAGTGTGAGTGTTTCTCTTCCTCACTGGCCTCGCAGAACAGAGGCACTTTTCTGAGCTGAGGCGAATTGCCAGAATTTTGCTGAATTGGGGAACCTGACATTTCTCCCTCGGAACTTGCTCCTACTAAAAAAAAGAAACAGCTCTTCTGAGAGTCATTAAGAAGGGGGGATAAAATTCATGCATATTGGGAGGGCACATGCCTGAATTTGTGTGGGATCCCACGCTCACATAGGGAGTCTTGAAGGTCTTCATGGGAAACACCCTTGCATGCTTAGGAGTGTTTGGGTCCACAGGGCTGCTGCTTCTGTAAGAGTGGAAGGCCTGGCCTGGGTAATCCAGGAAACCCAGGGTGCTGTTCATCCCACTCAAGGACCTTGACCAAATAAGTTCTGTAACTCACCCTGACTCTTGCAGCCTTGAGATTAAAGGAAATGGCACATGTGTTGGATGGGCAGACTCTGTGGATCTTGCAGGGCTGAACGCACACTGCTGCAAACTTATCTGGGAGTCTTATGGTGCTACAGCACATGCATTTTTGGGGCAGACACTGTTTTTGCACCAAGCATGCTGGATGTTTCCTGATGTAGCCTTTCTATGATTGAGCTGCTCTACTGAGCTGCCCCGAGACTCAGCAGGTCATGATAGCTTGCACCTACAGCACATCAGACTTCATCTTCCCAGCTAGCCAGGCTCTGGGAAGGTCACTGGAAGGAGTCCAGTGGCTTCAAATAGGAGTTGACTCATGCCCCATGAGATCAAAACAAAATGTCTCTGCATATGAAAAAATATTATGGAAACTGTATCATTCATGCACAAAAGCCACACTTCAGATTTATCATATAAAATACCTAATATTGTAAATGGAAAGAAAAATTGCATAAGGCCTGGAGTGCATTAAAATTGTTGGAATGTGAAAATGTCCCTTCCCTTAAACACAGCTGGGGTCTGGTACACAAGTAGGCATCCAAAATTGGGAAGCTCAATCCCTTCCTGCACTTCTTCAAAACGCTCACTTTCTGTAGAAGTAATTTCTAGACTCATCCCTTGTCTTGTCAAGAGGGACCCAGAACAAATGTTTACTATGGTGGTCAATATGAGGTGATATGGCAGTGTGACAGGTATTTCAAGACCTCACAAATGCAGCAGCAGCACCCAAGTGTGCTGCCCAGGACAGAGGTGGGCACTGAGAGCACCCCACGGGCAGGCAGCAGGCTTGCTCATGTCTGGCTCTGTGGTCAAATCCTGCCCCAGTAATGCTGGCCAGGATTTGACCATGGTGCTGAGCAATGCAGAATCCCTGTGATTCCCTCAGCTGCCATCTGCAGCTTGATTGTATTCCAGCAATAGCTGATTGCCATGGTCCAGGGAGCAGGATTTAGCATATTACCTTGAGGAAATGAGCAGAGGATGGCTCAGCATGCACAGTAAATGCAACTCTGAGGGAAAAAATGAATTAATGTGGGTATTAACCAGCAATTTGTCATACAGCCTCTAGAGTCAACTTCTGATGCTGTGAGGTGTGCAGTGAAAACCAATGGATACTTCTGCATCTCCCTGGCTTTTCTGAAGTTCTTCAGCACTGGGAGCTGGTGGATATCACCAACCCTGTTTGCTGCTCAGCAACAGAAGAAGCCCTGATGAATGCTCCAGCTGCTGGCTGCAAGCCTCTGACTTGCAAGCCTCTGACTTTAGACCCCGGGGCAGACTGCAGCTCTGTGCCATGCTTCCCTCCCTGGGTGGAACATCAGGAGCTGGCTGTGGGCACTGCAGAGGTGCCATCTGCCCCCTCATAGGCTGGACCTGATGCACTTCCCATTTATCACCCTGCAGTGCCTCAATACCACCTCTCTGTGACACCTCTGTGGCAGAAG